ACGAAGCCCGCGCGCCCATGGCACGAGGGTGGACACGGAACTCAGCTCAGAGCCCGCGCGCCCAGGGCACGAGGGTGGACACGGAACTCGAAAACGAAGCCCGCGCGCCCAGGGCGCACGGGCGGACACGGAGCCCGCGCCCCTGGTGCAAAGGCGACAGCGGAACTCCGGCTCAAGCCCCCGGACACCCACGTGCCTCGGGGGCCCACGCCCTCCTGGCTCCGGCCCTCGAAGCTCAGCTTCGGGAGCCCACGCCCCTCCGGCTCCGGCTTCGGCCCACACCCTCCCGGCTCCAGCCTCCGAGCAACCTGGAACCTCGGAAGCCCACGCCCTCCTGGCTCCGGCCCTCAAAGCACAGCTTCGAGAGCCCACGCCCTGGCTCCTGCTTCGGCCCACGCCCTCCCGGCTCCGGCCTCCGAGCAGCTAGACGGAGGCCCACGCCTTCCCAACCCCAGGACCTGCGAACGGAGGCCCACGCCTTCCCAACCCCGGGACCTGCGAACTTCGAGGGTCCACACCCCGTCTCCGCGCATCGCAGGCCCGCACCAGCCAACACGGTTCTTTTTCTCGCCGCTTCGCAACGTGCACGGACGGCCTCTTCGCGCGCACGCGAGCGGCGTGCTAGCTTCGGAACGCAAACGGCACAGGACGGTTTCGCTACGCTGCCCCGCCACTCTGCCTATTTCGCACCAAGAAGGGACTCGCAGCCATAGCAGCTTTATGGTACTCAAACATCGCTTCCAGCCTTGCTCACAGCTTTGCCGCCAGCTACTGCTGAAAGCTTCTCTTTCCCTTCCTCAGCTCTCGCGCCACTCTCTCACGCCACAATGGGAGGTCGCGGCCTACGGCCCCTCCTGGCGTGCTCGCCGCGGACGAGATGCTGACGAAGTTGAAGAATGAATAGTCCCTACGCTGCGGATGGGTTCGATTCCCTGCCACAGTACCAATCATAGCCCTTACCACCTCCTCAAACTGCCATTGGAGTTCACCGGGGGTGGCCGCGGGGCTGCGGGGCATTGAGCCACAACGAAAGATGCACACCAGTTGTGGCAACAAGTTCTTTGGCACGCCTACGAAACGCCAGTACCGAGCAGTGGTGCATTGGCGCATGTTAAAGACGAGCATTCTCGCTTGAGGAGCGGCCCGGTTCCGCGATGCGCTTCTTCCACAAGAAGAAGCAGAAGAAGAAGCCGACGACCCTCGCCCTGGACGAGGGCCTCGAGCAGGGCCCCTTCTTCCCCGAGCCCCTCGACACGAAACAAGCCGTGTGGTTTTACTGCACCGTCGCGCAGTGGCTGCGGGTGGCGTGCCCGCAGCTCAAGGAGGAGGCCTGGGAGGCCATCGCCGGTACGCTCGAGGCGGAGCACGGCGTCACCTGCGTCGGGCACCTCACGAAAACCCGGAGCGGCGCGTTCATCGAGGCGGGCGTGCCGCGCCACGTCGCGAGCAAACTCGCCGAGGAGATCAACAAGATGCTGCCGCTGACGCGCGGGACGCTCGCGCCCACGCGCCTCTGCGCGGGCGCGATCGGCGTGCGGCTCGCGCGCGTCGAGGCGACGTGGTCGTCCCGGGAGATTTTGCAGCTCCGCCTCGACTGGCGCGTCGTCGAAAGGGGCTCGGGCTCTTCGGTTAGGACGCTGCGGCGCGCGTCGCGGCGCTTCCCCGACGACGACTTCTTCGGCGACGTCCGGGACGGCGCCCTCGAGCTCGCCGAGTCCGAGCACGTGACGTCGGCCCGGGCCG